AATGGCTTCCAAATCACAAGGACATACAAATATGAGTTAGGGTTTTTGTGGTGGCTGTCTAAGGGTGATAAGGAGGCTGAACCAAAGGCATAAGGTTCTTTATATAGGGATCAAACCCTAAGTTTTGGGGTTTTAGAATTTGCATTCGTACGCTGCGCGTACTCTTGGTATGTTAGGCGTACGTGCATGGTTTTCGCGTTCCACTCTCTTGAGTTCGCAGAGCATACATGGCAAGGTACGCTCCGCATACGGTGCTTCCTCAGCCCACTTATAAGGGCCCAAAGGTCTAAGCCCAAACCTTTTTAAACTACTAACCTCATATAAATAGATAAAATAATACCTTATAAATTATGGACGTTACAATCTATAATATTTTTAAACCATGGGGACTAAACTTCAAATCCGGGAAAACCACAGTGACCATTTATGATGTTTTTTCAAAACAAAATAAAAAATCTAACCTTGTTCATACAATTAAGAATTCACAAAATCACGAAGTTTATCAAACTTAACATGTAAATAAACATATGATCAAGGTTTCAAATACGTATTTATAATGTCAACATACAAAAATCAAGCTATAAAACAAAATACTATATATGAACATACTGTTTCAAAAAAAAGATTTTGTTATAATAAAAGGAAAACATCATATGTTCTTACAACCAATTGAGGTTCCATATGTATCTCAGTAATCTCAATCTTTCTATGGATCAACATCTTTGAAAGACAAAGGATTTTATGTAGTGACACCTCAAGATATAGTAACGAATGAAGATAAGTTTTGTGCTCTGTTAATATCTTAATCCCTTTACTTGGATAGTCATCACTTGCATGTGACGATGAAAGGATGACAATAACTTCATAGTTCCTTTTAAAATACGATTTTCTAAGTTATTTTTATACATATGCTTTTACATAAATATAGAAAAGACGATTATGTAAAGCAATGTCTAATGATTCCTTTATACATGGTGTGTTAAGTAGAACTTCGGTGTGTCTTAAAGACCCACCTACTTTTTAATATTTATGTACAATTCATATATAACATTTTTTATGACCTACCATATAATGTTTCACACACACACACACACACACACACACACACACACACACATATATATATATATATATATATATATATATATATATATATATATATATACACACAATAGAAGACATCATATTTGGTAGCAAGAAGGAAACGAAGATGGCTTCCAAAAAGAAAGTTGTGTGAGGGATTCATTATAAATAAATGTTGCATTTTTCATATTTTTACACCATGAATTTTGTTGAGGTCTAGTTTCTAATCAACTTACTCCAAATTTATGTTGGTGTTAGTAAACAAAAGGAATGATTGATTTGGATTAAGTCCTCTCACCATCAGTTTTTATACATGTTGAATTGTTATTTTTCTAATTAAATTGACTTGGTTGAACCCGGTTATGGATTCACATAGTTTTGTATTTTAGATTCCTCATTGTTTTAATATGTTATTTTTTCAGATTAAAATGTAAATGATATCATATGGATGTTGATCTCCACATAACCAGCATAATGGTAAAAAGATGGAAACATATACACCAACTTCATTTTCTAGACAACTATTATTGGTATGGTTATTAGACAAAATAGATTTTGGCGCTACTTTGGGTTTTAAAACTATGGGTCAATGATGTCATGAACTTTAGGCCACTAAGTTTAGGGCCCAATTGAGCTCCTCCAGCCCTCTATTATACTGTCCATCGTTTTCTGTATTTGTGAGCATGTTTATGTTTATGGTTAATTTTTCCAAGAAAGGCTTTATCTTTTGGTATATTTTCTGAACAAAACACAATGTTTTTTGTTAAACTTATAATTCTGAATTTTGATATTAACTTTTTATTTGGCAATTTAATCTGGCGAAATTATCGAAGTAACATCTTTGTTCTTATTTTTGTTAATAAATACACTATGTCTTCAAAAAGTATATGATCGGACCTAACCTTCAATCATCCTTTGAATTTATTTGAGCAATTTGAAGCCTTGTCTATCATATTTGAATATTCTTAGCCAAACAATCTGTTGAATCATCAGTTCATGTCCTTATTCAAGTAAATCGAGTCTTTCAACTGGTCTTTTGAATCTCATTGTCACAATCGAAGAGTTTAATACTATATATATATATATATATATATATATATATATATATATATATATATATATATATATATATACACACACACACACGTGTATGTATACATATCTCCATTCTTAATAAACGAAACCATATTACACGTATCAATCCTCTCAATGCATTTTAGTCAAATGTAAAATTACCCTTTTACCCTTATTTTTTAAATATCAAAGAAAACCTGTGATTTTAAATGATATGCATGCAATATGGAAACAGAAATATGGAATATGGAAATTAGATATGAAAATATAGAAATTCTGAATTTTCAATATGGAATACGGAATATATGGATGGATATCGAATTGAATATGGAATCCATACGATATCGAATTGAATTGAATATGGAAATTTGATATGCTCAATGCATACGATATGATTCATTCTTTATAGCATCGTCTTTCCAGCAATTAAGCATCATCAATAATTCACTTATCACATATTCATTCAGCGACTTCAATCCTTCGGTAAGTTTCTGCTTCTCAATGTGTATCTGTAAGCTTCTGCAATTCACTTCCACTTTGAAAATCCATAAATTGCAGTCATGGTAATGTTTTGCAATTCACCCGCACTTTGAAAATCCATAAATTACAGTTATGGTAATGTTTTGCAATTCACTCCCACTTTGAAAATCCATAAATTGCAGTCATTAATGATCCACATGATCCTAATGGTTCATTAATTGAGTTTGTATATCCTTCAATCTTTGAAAAATTCAACGTTATGAGTTATTTTCAAGAAAAAACTATTCTAGCTCCAAAAAATGAAGTTGTCCAACAAATCAATGATCGTTTGTTAGCATTGTTTCCCGGAGACGAAGTAGAATATTTAAGTTCAGATGCTCTTTGCCAATCAGAGTTTGTTCATGATCAGTTTGATCCCATTTTGTACTCCCCATATATTTTAAATGGTCTTAAAGTATCGAGTTTGCCAAATCACAAGTTACTTCTAAAAGTCGGTGTTCCAATTATGTTACTAAGAATCATTTATCAAAAAAATGGATTATGTAACGGCACTAAACTACAAGTGAAATCTCTGGGCAAACGTATTATTAAGGCAATTATCATATCTGGAACTAATATTGGAAAGCAAACATTTATTCCAAGAATGTCATTAAGTCCATCTGAAAAAAAAATTCATTCAAATTTCAAAGAATACAATTTACGTTGGTCGTATGTTTTGCAATAACAATTAATAAAAATCAGGGGCAGTTGTTATCAAAGGTTGGTCTGTATCTCAAGGATCCTGTTTTTTCATATGGACAGTTGTATGTTGCTTTATCTAGAGTTCAAAATAGAGAAAAATTGAAATTGTTAATTTTATATAAAGATGGTAGACTTACAAACAAAACTTCAAATGTTGTGTACAAAGAAATTTTTAGGAATTTATAAATGCTTGGTACCCATTAACTTCAAACATTTGTGTTTTTTTTTCTTTTCTTTAATATTTTATTTTTAATATAGCGTTGTAAACCATAATATTGAATTTGTTTCGATATTTGATTTTCAAACATTAATAGATGCCACATGGTGTTTCTTGATTACTTCCTTAGATCAAAAAATAATGATTTGACCTCACAGTTCATAAATTATTCACATATTGAAAGATGCATTTTAGTTATCTTCATATTTACCTTTCGATGGATTGATTGTGTTTCTCTTTAACATATTTTCAAATTTATATACTTTTTACAAATTTATATTAATATTAATTTTAAATAATCAATACAAATAATGCCAAAAAAACTTAACTCTTATTAATAATATAAATTTGTTTTCAAACTTTTTACCCGTGGTTTTCACGGGTTGTAGCCTAATACCAAAATAATGTAGAATAACTTGTCATCTTTGATGTAACTTGAAATGTTTTCGTGCCTAAATGAAAATATTCAGAAATACAAAAAGCAAAAAATTCGAAAGTACAAAATTTCTCTAATGAGACGTGCATTATTTGTTGGTTATTAGTTATATTTTGTCAACATCAAATATGAGGGTTTGTTAGCCCCATAATTCGTATTAGATTTAATGATGACACTTAGTAATTAAATGTCATTTTAAAAAACTGATCTTCTATAAGTCTACAAGATTTGTCTCGTTAGCAAATCTCATGACATCTATTTTAGATTTTTTTTTATATAGTTCTTTAATTAGCATATGGGTAGTTGGTTGTCTATCACAATCGGTAATTACAAATTTGACCCTTGGAGGCTATGAGGATTATTAATGATTCAATATGCAAATGAAAGAGATAAAGTTAAAGGCTTAAAGCAAACATGCATGTCTCAAGGTAAGGTGCATTCCTTTATAAGGACTGTTTATAAAGTTAAAGCAAACAAACAACCGACAACCTAACAAAATCTGTAAATACCATTCAGCTTCATACATTCAAGAATTGTTAGTGTATCATATATCAGTGTAATAGAGTCTTTTATCGTATTGTATTTCTGTATATATTGGAGTGTTCCTCTCTCAATAAGGACAGATTAACCACATATATATATATATATATATATATATATATATATATATATATATATATATATATATATATATATATATATATATATATATGTTACAACAACCAAACAAGACACATACACAGAGAGATAAGTAGATTAAAAATCGTAATTGATTTCAAAGAAAAGATGCATTAACCGATAGTGTATATGAAGCCACTCATCCACCCACATAAAAAGAATCAAGTCAGAAATCGAGTTTTAGCACCAAAATTTACCACTTGATTGGGACGAATAGAGAGTCATGGCCCCCAAAGAAAGAAAGACCCCTCTAATGTACACTTTTTTTTTTTTTTTTTTTTTTTTTTTGTTTTCCATAATACAGGAAAGTTATGATTGTTTAGTTGGCTCAAACTGCGACTCAACAAGTACGTACAATTCCTTCCCATGCGATCGCAATCGCTCCCGACCCTACAACAATTTTTTCATATTTATTTCAGTAAATCACACTTTTGGTCCCTGACTATAGTTAAGTTTTGCAATTTTGGTCCTTATCAGTTGTCCTTATTCATGTTCTAAGTGACTATTTTTTTGGTCCCTAGGTATAACTTATTTTTGCAATTTTGGTCTTTATTTGATGTTCTTGTTACATTTTTGGTCCATATTCTAAACAAAATGACTACGTTTGGTCCCTGAATATAGTTGATTTTTGCAATTTTGGTCCAAAGATGTCTCTTGTAATCTCAGTCCTTATTAGAGGTTCTTGAAACGGTTTTGGTCCATGTTGCAAGTAAAGTGACTATTTTTGGTCCTTTGGTCTTGCTGATTTTTGCAATTTTGGTTCCAATTTTGCTCCTTATTTGAGATTCTTTAACACTTTTGGTCCAAGTTCCCAGCAAAATGACCAATATCTGATTTTTATCAATTTTGGTCCCAAACTTGATAATAGTTTTACTTGGAATAGGGACCAAAACAATTACAAGAAAACTCAAATACGGACCAAAATTACAATAAAAAAAAAAACTTTTGGGCCAAAACTGAAAAAAACCAGCTACACTGAAAGACCTAAAATGTAGTTTACTGTATTTATTTTATATATATATTTGAAATAATCCAATTTAGATTTATAAAGTCTTGAAGTCATGTGTATTACCTTCAAGTCTGGTACTTCAATTACACAAGCACACCCCACCACTTCAGCTTCAGCACGCTCTGTGAAATTTGAAAAAAAAAAAAAAAAAGAAATCAAACATGTTCATAAGTATTATTTATTTTATATATTAAATATTAATAATTATTGTCACATGTAAATAAATAAAGAAAATTAATTACCAAGTAAGTTGATTGCAGCACAAATGGTACCACCAGTAGCAATTAAATCATCAACAACAAGAGCTCTGTCTCCAGATTTAACTGCTCCAACATGCATTTCAAGGCAATCTGATCCGTATTCTAATATATATTTTTCTGATATCACTTCACCTGTATTATTTATAAAACAAAAATATATAATTAATTTTTGAATTTACGTAAAAACAGAATAAAGGGAGGAATATGCTTAAAATGTTACCAGGTAACTTTTTTGGCTTCCTTAATGGAACAAACTTTGCTCCTATTGCAAGTGCAATTGGTGGACCAAATATAAAACCCCTTGCCTCAATTCCTGAAATTAATCAACCATTTTTTTTTAAACTATTACTAAAAGATACCCAAAAAAAACATTTTTATGGTGACAAAAAATGAAGTGTAACTTTACTTTTATAATAATTAATAATTATAATGAGATGAAAAGACAATCTGTTTATAAATTTTATCAGGTTTGGTTCAAGGGCAAAACAGTCATTTTGAAAAAAATGACTGCCGTCAATGGGAACGGGTGAAGTTGGTTCAAGGGCAGAATGGTAATTTTTGTTTATTTTAAATACTGAAGTAAATTGAAATTAATAAAGAATACAAAGGTGATGTAAAGCGGTAAAGATAATAATTATAATTATGAGCAACTGTAAAGTGGTTAGAAACAAACAAATGTAAATACTAAAGAAATTGAATTTTTATTTTTATTTTATCATTTTTATTTTTAAGTATTTACGACTCACCCATATTAATCATATGTAACAATAAAAAAATGAATGGTTAATTTGGTGGCAGGTATCTAGAAGTCCACTCACATTAAAGACAGGGTGTATTTTTTTGATAAAATATTAGAGGGAACATTACACAAAAAACTATTATATTTTGGGTATTTAACTATTCTTTTGTTTAAACGCTAATATTTTATTTCTCCATAAAAGTTTCAAATTCCTTTCCATATTAACTACTATTTTGAGTATCTTGTCAAAATTAAAATGGTTAATTTAGAAAAAATTGTATGAAACTTTTATGTTTTGATTGGAAAAAAATATTAGTGATTAAATTGTATTAATGGGTTTTTTTTTTTTTTTTTTTTTTTTTTTTGAAGTTTGGCCTAAATATAATTTAGAAAAACTGTAGTTACCATTTTTTTCAATTTAACGCCACAAAAATATTTTTTTGATTTAACATCTGAGATTTTGATTTTTTTTAAATCCACTACAGAATTCTATAAAAACCACTATTGTTTGGAATTTGTTCATGTTTACGCACCCGATTTTTTTTTATAACCGAACCTTAAATTGTTTATAAAAAAAACAACTTTAGCCATAATAATATTCTTCCAAAGGTTTTTTTTTTTTTACAATTCATTATCAAGGAACACTTCCACTGTTTTTTTTTTTAAAACAAACTCTCAGTGGTTAAACTAGTTTAAAAAAATATATTTCAGTGGTTAAACTAAGAAAAGTAAACTATTGTGATTTTTATGAAATTTGACTGATATGCTTTGAAATTTTTTGAGATCTTGTACATGAGTTTAGTTTGATGGATGGGTTGTTATTATTTATTACTACATGGGACAATTGAATAAAAGATGCAATATGGCCCATTCCTTAAAGTTTAAAAGAATACAAAAATGTCATTATATGGCAAAAGTTAAAAGAGACAACAAGTTAACAAGTGATGGTACCTAACCTAACATGGTTGTACAGTTTTATATACATATATATATACTTTTGTTTGCACCTAAAATCCAATTTTTTTAAATTGTTTTTATTTAGTTAGGATTTTCATTGGAACTTACAAGAAGTATTTGTAAGTCTTAGGGCTTCTCAAAAAAAAAAAAAAGTTTATATGCATACTTTGGTTTTATCATGCATACTTTGATAGTCTCACTAGCATAAAGACAAGTTTAATTAATCCCCACACGTTAAAAAATAAAAAGACTAAAAGCTTTACTTAAAGAAAATTGAGTTTAATATCCAACTTAACCAATATCATATTGAAGACATGATTAGTTGAGTAGTATAGATCTTTTTTTTTTGATCTGTTTGTTACCAAACAAAACAAAAATAAGACAATCCTTATCTCATTTATTGAGAATCTTTATCCATTTTTTTTTTATTTACTTTTAGACATATCCTTTTGATTGACTTTCTTTTCTCTAAAAGGTTCTTTCCCTTTACTCCTTTAGCTTAGGTTCCTTGTTAATAATTAGGAAGGATTACTTTTTTTTTTTTTTTTAACTTTAGGTGTCCTTGTAATTCTCAAACTATGAATAGGCCTTATTATCCATTTAATAAAAGCATCTAGAATTTGGGTGATAAAAATTATGAGTATAGTCAGAAATCCTAGCAAAAAAAACCCCATGCTATGCATCAAATGTAAAGAATCATTTTATAGATTTACAATTTGAGGAGAAAATGAGAAATCTAACTATAGAAAGTAGAAACCTTTGAACACCAATGATTAGTTTAAATTCAGATCAAAGTAAAAAAATAATTATATATTCTTTGACCCACAAAAAAAATAAAGCTACTAAAATTTCATGCTACTAGACAAGAGATGGCAGAAGTGCACACACTGAGCAACCGAACATAGTTTCAAGAAAAGATAAAAAAATTTAAGTTATTTTTTTTTTTTTAACAAAACCAAACAAAGCCCAATTGATTACACTAGGCTATCCACCTTTTATAATGATCTACCCAACAATAATTGATCAACAGAATATGACACCAAGATACATACAATCATGATCCATAAAGAGAGTGTAAGCGTGTGGGGTGAAGAGATGAGGATAAAATCAGTATATAGTATATAGTATATATATATATGTGCACACACATTTAGAAAAGTGAAAAGGAATTGAGGCTCAAAATTGAAAGCATCTCATCCAAACAATGGCAAATCTTTAAAAAAATCCACAATGTGATGAAATGAAATCCAACAAAATTAAAAAGGATCTGTCCCCATATTCAAATAATCTATCATCACAACCCTATGGACCCCACTTGCCTTCCCCCTCAACAACAAGAACCACCATTATATTATCCCACCCAAATTTTGGATCTTGAAAGAGAGAGATTCACATGCTTAGCAAACAAAGACCACTCTTAGCCGCTCATACACATTCATAGCAAGTAATCAATGACAAAACTCCCTCCCCTCAATTTCCCACTACCTATCAACCACTGAAATATAAATATTGAATGCTGATGCTCATGTCATTTCACTCCAAAACAAAAGTTTCATATAATGCCACTTGAAGATTTTGTGTTGTAGCTTAAAGGCATAAATAAAGGTATCCACAAACTTACCAAAAAACAAATTTTACAGTATATTTTGTTCTGAAACAACTTGTTTTCATTGGTGTTAGGGACTGACCTTCCATCACGTCACTTCTAGGCAGCTATTTTCCACTTATATCTAGTGCAGATCGTACGATATAGGTTTTCAAGATAACAAAAACAAAAACAGTAAACAGTGCACATCAAAATCCATGGCAGAGTAAGATCGCAATGCATATTGCTACACAACAGAGCCTGTTATAATGTTACCCTAGGGTTTTTTTGTTTGTTTTTATTTTTGTGTGTAAAGTGCAGCATTTGACCCTACCTCTCAATAAATAAACGGCGAAAAGGTTAAGCACGATGAATTTACTTGATTTCACAACGGAAGTGGACAAAATTCTGAAAATAAATAAATAATTACCTGCAATTACAGAAATGTTTTCATGTTTGTAATGCTCAACGAACAAATCGATCGTGTCTTTGAATGCCTTCGGATCAAGCAACAATGTCGTGATGTCTTGAAACATTATACCTGTGAATCATATAAACAAAAAAAAAATTCCTTCACGATTCATGAATGTGTGAGTCTGTGAGATTACGTATGCTCTCACAACTCACAAACGCAACGAGAGAGAGAATCCATACAGAAACCTGTGAGAGACGAGTGTACCTGGTTTCGGAAAGTTAGGGATGACGCGAAGTGCGGATTTGATTCCATTGATACGTCCGTCGGAGCCTCCGTTTTCGCCTGCGGACATTCTTACTGTGATGGAGCAGTTGAAGAGAATTAATGGCGGATTTGAGGGAATATTAGAGTGGGGAAAATGAGAGGGAAACAACTGTATTTATAGGAATATGCGAGAAGGATAGAAGGAGAAAGCTTTTTCAACTTTACTGTTTAAGGGGGGTGGGTGGGCACACTGCACAAGAAGAAGGGACTTGATTGAAATTTTAAATCAACATCTCGAGAAAGATGAAAACTTTGATCAATTGGCGAATATAGTCATTGTAGTTTTAAAATTATCTTTTCGCCTCCTTTATTCAATTTCTCTAGGCTAAATTGTAAATTTGGTCATTGTCATTTGTTAAAATTTGAGACTTTCGTTAAAAAAAAACTTTTAAAGCTGTACCAATGGTAAAAAATAAGAATTTTATTGTAGATTTTGTCCAAAATTTTTAGAAAATATTTCAAAATGATAGATATGCCTTTTTAATTTTATCTTTTTTATTTTCTTTTATTTGTAACAATTAAATAAAAAGATAAAATGAAATATATATATATATATATATATATATATATATACACACACACACAAAAGAAAAAACCCATCTCAAAAATTCGGTTAGCATTTTAACATTTTGTTTGTCTCCTTCTTTGCTTCAGGTTAAACAAGTCAGTCAAGACGTTTTAGAGGTTAGGGACGATTGCAAGAGGTAAAATGGATTCAAATTATTGTGTATTTTGTTGGTTTTGATTGGCTGGTTTGAAAGCAATCAAGCATCAGAAGAATCAGAAGCTTTGAATGTGTTCAATTTGATATCGACAAAAGGGTATTAAATTATTATCATTAAAGTCTGAAGAATCAGGAATCAGAAATAAGGAGCATTCTTTTTGTTTATCACAACGGAATGTGTCGTTGTTGTTGTTAGTGTGGGTTTTGATTTGATCAATTGTTCTTTGTTTTTTTTTTTTTTTTTGGGGGGGGGGGGGGGGGGGGATTTTGCGAACGAAAGTCTAGTTCCATCTGTTATGAACAGTTCATTCACGAATGCCTTATTCTCTCTAACATTGAGCCTAAATTGATCAAAGTTTGGTTTCAGAATCGAAGGTTCAAAACTTACAAACCTTTATATCTTCTTCCTCTTCACTGTCATAGCTTTTCATGTCATGATTTTTGGTTATGGTGTTCGTGTTATTTTTCATTCATGGTGTATTGTACTATAGATATAGAGAAAATAGGGGAGAGAAGCTTTACGCCTTCAAGGCATGAATCGTAAACTATCAGCAATGAACAAACTCCTCATGCATGGAAGAAAACAATTGATTACAGAAGCAAATGTTGCATCTGGTCTGGTGTATGAAAATGGCTTTTTCGCCAGCATACTCCTCGGAATGTAAACATTTTTCATTGAAAACGATTCGCATTACCATTTTTAAGTTCTATATAATTGATTTATCGAGCTTTTTCATATTGCAGATGATTCGTCCTTTAAAAGATACGAGTTGCGAGTCGGTGATGACGAGTCATTTGACTCATAATGCACCACATGATGTTAGTCCTACTAGGTTAGTCACGATTCATTCATTTTTTTCTTCGTTTTCTTATACAATCCAAATAACACGTTATGCATTTATTTTATTTTAATTTTGTAAACTGAATATTGAATTGAAGTAATGAAGATCCATTTTTTAAGATGCGTTTTTTCTTAGAGAAAGAAAGAACTGGGATGGAGGGAAGGGGAGAGAAAGAGAGGGGTGGTTTTAGCTTTTTTATTTAATGGTTACAAATAAAAGAAAATTAAAAAAACAAAATTAAAAGGGCAAATCCATCATTTGAAATATTTTCAAAAAGTTATGGATCAAACTTGCAATAAAATTCTTATTTTGAACCATTGGTGCAACTCCAAACTTTTTAGATTAAAGTCTCAGTTTTTGACAAACCATAAGGACCAAATTTACAATTTTGTCATTTCTTTAGGTATGATTGAAGGATTAACTTGTTTTTTCATAGACTTGAATTTTGATCTATATATTATTTTGTTAGTGTATATTTTCATTCATTATATGTATGCCTTCTTTATATTTTACAAAAATTTCTTTTTTTATTAGTATTGATATGATATTACAAGAGCATTTACTATGAGTAAATAAAATATCAGTGGATCTGCTTGCTTGTAAGTTGTATTTTACTTAAGTTCTTTATGTATAAATGAAGGATTAGTTTGTATATACACCCCTTAAATCTTGATTGCTTAATTACTATATTCTCTCATTCATTATATTGTATCCATATATTCTTTATATTACACAAGATTCGTTTTTACTCGTATCGATGTGATGATAAAAGAGTCGATGTTATGAGTATAGGGTATGAACTTAGTTGCAAATTATAAGATATTTAAATTAAAAGTTTTTATATTGAGGTGGAAGACAAACAAGTAACAAGTTGTGTTGATATCCATTTATGGATGAGAAATTTATTTTTTTGAAAACTACAACTATAGATCTTAGATCATAACATTACTACACATGACCCATTGATTTATTGAGAAGCTCTATAGCTTCTACTACAAGGAAACCAAGAAACACAAATGATATAGATAAGTGTTGATTTTTCATGTACTTTTTCTTGTGTTTTGTGACTTTGCATGATGTAACTTTTAAAACAAATTGTTTCACACTAAAACCTTCACTCCTTAAATATACGGAAGGGGAAACCTTTGTAAGATCCATAAACATGTGTTTCCCTCTAACACATCCAAAAATTAAAACGTCCATAGGTATGAGTGTTGACATTCCTTCCAACGAGTCAATCAAATAGCTTACATGTGCTTTTTAACGAAAACTCGACATAGAATATCCATGACCATATCGTGTTAGTACTTAAAACATATGAGCTCTCTACAATATACGGTATGCGCCCCCCAAGGAATCCAAGCATGCCTTACGACAAATTGAGAATATGTCATCAACCAAAAATAGAGGAATAGTGAGACAACACTCAAGCATAGTTTGCTAATTCCCCCGGTAACACATGTTGGCGAAGACCATTTATAAGGATAATCAAGAGAAAATTATGAGCATGTAGTGTGCAACTTTACTAAGGCACTCGTCATGCATTTTGGGCTTTAGAGGGGGGGGGGGGGTTCATTATTAGTGAAACCATTAAAATCGAAGATTGGAATCGAATAAAGAAGATAAGTCAAAACACAAACTTGTCATAGTGTACTTCCATGTCCTATACAAGTTTATTAAAAATGACACTTGCCAATGTAGTTTGAAATTTAGGGGGGAGGGGTGTCCTTATTAATGAAACCATTAAAATCGAAGATTAGAATCGTATCACGAAGATAAGTCAAAACATAAACATAATCAGAATCAATACCACACATATCATTATCTCATAAGATGTGGTCTTGTAACACATAAGATTGGACGAGTAAGACGACAAAGATATGGATTTATGGTCCTCTATAAAACACATGTATAATAGCTTCGATGTTTAATCTTGAATACATGTTAATACAATCGAATAAATAATTTACAAGCCATCACTTGGTCACTTATACAGTTATACCCCATGTGCTTTGTAATTAATAGTCTTTCAACAATAAATACATTTATGAAAACAGATGAAATTTATTTACTTCAGTCATTAAGTTTTCCGACCATAATAACGTTAGAAAAAAGCAATATCGTAGCGTAAGATCTTATATGTATAAGATGAAAAACAAAAACTAAAATTTTTGGTTTTTGGTTGTTTGCCAACAAGATACATCACCTTGGTTGGATGATAAAACAAGACAAAAAGAGAGATAAATGGTGTAAAGGACAAATAAATTTATGTTAATGTTGACCATTCTTAAGCTTATACTGTTCATTGGACCACATTAGTTAGTGCCTGGACCGGACTTTTCTATCGATGTTTTTAAATTGAAGGGCTGTATTTGTATTTTACTTATAGTTAGTACCATTATTATAAAATTTTCAAAGAAAGGAAGATGAAAATGGCCGAAGGGTATCACGAGGCTCTCCCCCAGCGATTGCGGTTTCGCTCGTTCTTTCCGTAAATTCCGAAAATACCCTACTGTTAAAAAAAAAAAAAAAAAAAAAAAAAAAAAAAAAAAAAAAAACTCCTTTTAACTCATGGATCATGGGAATCTTTTAAAACATATTTTAGATTTTAGGAAAAGATAAAAAATAAAAAGATGTTTGGTAATCTTATAAAAGCTATTTTTTTATATAAGGAAAACGAATTTTTCTGAAAAAATCATAGAAATCATTTTTCACAACTTTTCCAAAAAGGATTTTTGCCCTTTCAAAAGCTTAGTCAAACACCCCTTATGTCTCCATGATATTTATTCTCCGTGATAAATAAAATAATTTGTTATTTGTTTTATTTTAATGCATTATGTTATGTTATATGTTTTTATTATAATATTTTTATTTTATTTTAATTTTTTACATTTCATTTTATGATTTTTCATTTTATTAAATTTTATATAATATTTAAATATAATAATAAATGTATATTAATTTTATTAATAGATTTTCCTTTTAATTTTAAAATTATAAAATTAAACCTCCTTAATTTCATTTATTTATTTATCTAAGTTATTTGCTTAAATATAAAAGAAAAAAAAATTAATCTAAATAATTCAATATTTTTCTCATTCTTTTTTTATAAATTTAAATTTCAAATATTTAGAATTTCATACTTTATTTATCCCACCTAGTGTGTATATAACAAAATGAAAGGTTAATTTATACAAGTTCTTTTGTAAGAGATGGGAAAACGATTTTAATTATGATTAAAAACTATCGTTCTATTAATTATTCATATATAATATCATTTGTAAAAATATAATACGTTTTATCACAATATTTTAATATTTAGAATTTTAAAATCTTAATAATCTTTTGATTATATATATATATATATATATATATATATATATATATATATATATATATTATTTTTATAAATAACAATCTATCAAAATAATTAATTAAAACGGTGATTGTTTTAGAATATATCATTATAGATGATTTTTTTTCTTATTTAATAATTTTCAAAATAGATGAGTTCGAATCATTGTTTATTTGACTCGCAAAAACATACGATAAAAATAAGACATGACACTGTAATGCTCCATCTTCTCAAAACTAGAGTGAGTATCTGTCTACTGATTTCTTAGGAATACAAGTGGTTTTAAAAAATGTCTAACAATTAAGTTGGTAAGTTTACAAACATTTTTGTATGAGAAATATATGTCTTTGTTCCTTGAAAATGATAGTGTGTTCTGCCAGAAAATCCGATATTTTCTTTTATATGTAATGTAGTCTTAAATGTTCCGAAACCGAAATGTACAAGTATTCTCCATACTTAAAATAGTAATATGTAATTTT